GGGTAAGGGGAACACGTATGTGGAAATGCTTTCAGGACCTTGGAATTTGTCCATTTATGGTAAAGGGGCGTCAACACTGGATCTTCTTGGACAGTGGACCATTGGGCTTCTGAAAGGGTTCATTTGTTCCCGTTCCCGTTTTGTCCCGGTCCTTTGGTTCTGGGGGCGGGGGTGGGGGTGCGAGACTTTGGTTCTGCGTAAAGCTGGATGCCAAAGTTCTCTCTGCGCATGCTTCAGCTGCGTGACCCCCCCTGTCCTGTCTGCTGTCCCTTAAAAACTACTGAGCACCTCGTCATAAGGATAGGACCATTTTGAGCTGGCTCTGTGGTTACACATCAACAGAAACACAAAGTAAGCTTATGTATTGATCAGTTGATGAAAATGTTTTGACCAGAGGCTAGCAGGAACCTAACCCTGAATTTCCCCTAAGAGTAATGGGTTCAATATTTGCTAATTGTTTGCAGCGACTTTATAGAACATAACTACTTAGAATAATAAGAATTGTCGACTGTATTAAAACTTTCCGTGTTCCAATTAGTGTGAGTCTCTCCTGATTGGATCAGACTAAAATTATCAATAAGCCATTATTCCACTAATTAGTTATTTCTTCCACATATTGATAGAGTCATACACTTTCTATAGTAATTAAAGTTTCAGAGGTTCAAAGAAGCATAATTGGAGCAAAAAAACTCCCTGTGATTAATTCGCTTTTTATGTGGAAATGTTCTTAATATTTGAATATGCACTATCTTTTTTTAATTATTATTTTTTATTGTGAAATAGACATTTTTTAGAATTATTTTCAGCTGCACAACACAGTGCAATACTTTTTACCTGTCAAAGTGAAAACCTCCCTCCCCCAATCCGCCACCCCACTCCCCCCCCATATCATACATATCTATTACAATTCCCTTGACTCCACTCCCACACTATACTCCACGTTCCATGACTATATATATATTCACTTATAATTGACATACAATATTATACAACATCAGCTTCAGGTGTACAGTGCAGTGATGAAGTCTCTACCCCATCCATGATGCAGTCTCCCTAGCAAGACATGTGACTATCTGACACCCTACAAAATATTTACAACATTATTCATTATATTCCTCGAACTGTCTTTCATGTCCCTGTGGCAATATCATAGTTACCTATTTATGCTGTCTAACCCCTTCCCCTTCTCCCTCATCCCCACCCCCTCCCAACTAGCAGCCATCAGTTGTTCCTCTATATCTCTGAGACCATTTCTGTTTACTTTGCTCGTTCATTCAGTGTTTTAGAGTCCACATATAAGTGA